TCAGCAGCCTGAGCCAGAGCAGCGAGGGGCGTGACGAGGAGGGACGGAGCGGCCACCTACTTCACATGCTACGTACAGGAGGACTGGACAGAAGGTGAGCTGGGGACAGTGCAGGAGGGCAGTGAGGTCTGAACACGCAGCTGAGGGAGACATGGACTCAAGGGAATCTTCTTGTATTGTCTTCTTTTTAACTATGGTATCTATCAGAACATGTCTTCTGTGCTGATGAGAAAGATCCAGGAGGAAAGAAAAGTGGGCGAGGCAGGAAATAGAGGGGAGGATTGTGAGGCAGAATCCTTGTGTAGTAGGCCAGGAGCCAGTGACCAGCCAGGGACCTGGACAGCTCCTGCGTCCTACCAGGCAGTCCTGAGGAGCTGATGCAGGGATGGGGCAGATGTGGGTGGGAGCTGGGCTGCGGGGAGGGCCACCGGCCCCTGCTCTGCCCTCCGGGGCTCCAGCAGGAATGGTCAGAACCTGGGGGCTTTGGAGGGACTGGATCTTGAAGCTAGAGGGTGTGCTGGGCTGCTTGACTGGCAGCTGTGTGATTTGGGTGAGACGCTTCACCTTTCTGAGTCACTTCCCTCAACTGGACAGTTTAAAGGGCAGTAATAGTGCTGACATCTCGGGATTGTGGGTAAAGGCCTGACATGGGCTCCGGGTGTGCCAGCACATGGCAGCAACTCGTAGCCTCCTTCAGTGGAGAGGTGACTGGCCTGGGTGGAGCAGCTGTGAGGATTATGGCTGCAGAGGTGAGGTAGGGCCTTTGACGTGTGTGCCCAGAGGCCATGGAGGCGCTGCAGGGTGGTTAGCAGGGCAGGGAGGAGAACTGGGCTCTGCTGTCCCTGTGTGCAGGTAGTGGCCACAGCAGGTGTGAGGAATGGCCAAGCCCAGAGTGCCAGGCTGGTGAAGTGCCATCGGTGAGGGGGCTGGCCAGGCCTCACCCAAGGGAGGTGTCCTGAGGGTCGTCTGCCCTAGCTGAGAAGTCCAGGGAGGCTGTTCTCTTAGTAGGTGGCGAAGGGGCAGGATTAAACACCCCAGGGTCAGGGTGAGGCAAGTCACCTGGGGCACAGCCAGGCCCCGCTGCTTTAGATCATTGTCCTTGAGGACACGGAGGGTTTCTGGGTTTGTGGGCAGGGCCTCTGGTGCCCCCTCAGTTGTCTGCTTTTTGCCTTCCAGTATCTTTTGATAGCTTGGTTTAAATCAATGAATGGTTTGAACAGTTTGAAAACTACTTCTCAAGCACGTGCCAGGCCCTTTGCTGGATAAGGGGGTGAGCAAGACGGAGGCTGTCTGTTCCCCACAGGAATGTGGGTCAGTCCTGTGAGGCTGGCGCTGTGATACATGTGCCATGGCTGAAGGCCAGCGAGCAGTGACAGCTGCGGGCCAGTGTTCCCAGCTGTGGTACAGGGTGATTTTAGGGGGCACATGAACATTTACCGAAGTGTTATTTTGATGTTTATTAGAAAAAAAGTAGTAACTAGTACATCAAACATGATTTCACAGATATTGCTTAGGAAGAGGTGAAGTTAAACAAAAGTTAGTCTTTTTGAGTAACTATTAGGGTTGGGATGACGATACTGCAAAGGTGAAGACCGAACATGGAAGTGATGGGCTCATAGGGAGAACACAGGTCCAAGAACCGCCTCCAGGGGGCAGTGTGGTGCAGAGGGCAGGGTCACAGCACCAGACACATTGCAGACCCACGGGGCTGCCACCTTGTCAGGTGGGCAGTGGACAGCTCCAGACAGAAGGCTTTAAGCAGAGGCTTGACTCTTTAGGAAGTGATTCTGGAAGATTCCTTTGCTACTGTGTAGAGAATGGAGAATGGATGCTGGATGCTGATGTAGGCGGGTTAGGAACCTTTGCAACAGTCCAGCTGAGGGGGTGGGGGGGCCTTGGCCTCTGCTGGAAGGAAGTGGCCCTGGTGGGAGCTGGGCACTGCTGGGGGCTGGGCTATAGGAAACCAGCAGATCAGGTGAAGCAGCTGGGGACAGGAGTGGACTCGGAGCTCAGGCCTGGAAGACAACTTTGGAATGTGACAAACTGATGGCAACAAAAGCCATGAGAATGTCCCCGAGTCAGCATGGATCCTGAGTCAGGGGTTGGGCGTTCAAAGGGAGGCCAGCCCCACTGGAGATCCCTGGGGTAGCTGTTCACTCAGTGTCCTGCACCTTATAAAAAGTCACTGATGAACAAAATAACGATCCCCACCTGTGAAGCTTACAGTGGAAACACGTGGACCTGTAAAGCAGTTCTGTGCTATGATGAAGGAGAGGGCAGGGTAAGGATTTATCTAAGGTCTTTCTGATAAGGGAACTTCTGAGGAGACGCCTGAAGGAGGTCCTAAGAAAGCATAGGGATCTCTGGGGACAGTGTATTTCCAGGCAGTGGGACCACAAGTGCAAAGGGTGAATGACAAAGAATGGGGAGGGTAAGAGCAGACAGGGTTGGGAGACCATCCATCATTGAGGACTGGCTTTTACTGGGAGATGGAAGCCACTGGAAGGTCTGAGCTAAGAAAAATGACGATCTGCCTTGTTTTATAGGGACTGTTGTGCCTGCCATGGGAGCAGGGGGTGGGGACAGGATGATCGGGGCAGCCTGCTGGGGAGGTTGCTGCAGTGGACGTGATGGTTTATCGCTTTCGAATGAGGTTTTAAAAAACCACTGTCTTCCCTCTGGTTGCTGTTCTCTTGGGTGATTCACTCCCACGTGTATCACGTGTATGCTGCTGTACGGGGAGGCCGGCGTGGCACGGAACCGAGGCCTTCTGCCAACAGCCGTGTGAGGGAGCCTGGAAGCAGACCCTCCGGCCCGGCAGCCTCGTGAGACACCCCGAGGCAAAAGCTCCCACTGAGGGGCCCCTGGACTCTGGACCTTCAGAAACTGAGGTAATAAATGTTCATTGTTTTAGCTGCTGAGTTTTGGGGCAATTCATAAATATGACCAGGCGATAGAAGTGGTGAGACGTAGTTGGACCTGGCACACATTTTAAAGGTAAGAATTTGGACAGGTCAAGTTTGTGATATTTATTAAGACAGCCACGTGGAGAGTTTAGGCAGTAGGCAGTTATAAAAGTTGAGTCCGGGAGAAGTCGGCATTTGGACGGAATTTCAAGCTGGGAGTCTGGTTAAAAATGGGAGTGAGCAGACCAGAGAAGAGCCCAGTACTGAGCCCTGGGCAGCACAACTTCTAGCTACTGGGAAGAGGGGGAGCACCCAGTTCTGAAGTGGGGGGCTTCCAGGGAGGGAGTGCTCACCGGGCACTTGTCTGGTGAGGTAGGTAAGATGGGAGACAGAGCCACTCCACCGACTGTGGAGGGCGGGTGAGAGCTAACTGGAATGGCAGAGAGAATGGAAGTAAGGAAGAAGGGACAACTACACACCTTTCTTGAGGGCGTTTGGCTGAAGGTGGGGATGTTTGCTGGGGAGGGACATGGGGTTTCTATTTTGGAGGCAGCCATTATCAGGGCATGGTTGTAAGCCGAGGGGAACATCCATGGAGACTTCAAGGACGCCTCCAAGGTTTTGACTTTCCCCTTGAAGTGTGGACACATGGACTCCCGGGTGGGCTGGCAGGGAAGCTCCAAGGCCAGGCCGTGCAGCCTGTGGCCTACAGGCACGGGCTCCTTGTTGGACCACACTGTCCCAGGGACAGAGGGACACTGGGAGCGCCCAGAGTATGGCAGATGCTGGGGACAAGTCCGGAGAATTTCCTGTAGAAGTGGACTTGACTGGAAGGCAAAGAAAAAGGACTTTTAGCTTCCTAGACTTGGTTTCATCATGGACTTTATTGGGAAAAGTTAGTGTAAAAAACATTCAAATTCATAAAATTTAAATAAGACAGTAAAATTATACCTTGTAGCTATAGTAATCGGTACAGTAATCACAAATAAGGTAAAGTCTAAATTATTGCCTAAGCAAACACTATTTTGTCAGGCTTCTGTTGCGAGCCCAAGGCAGGAAACATTGCAAGTACTAGAAGTGAGCCCAATGATGAATTTGCATTTGAAGCTCAAGAAAGGGGGGGAAAGCATGTTCTGATTACAGCATCACAACACTTTAGCCTGAAAAAAGCAACTTTATTAATATGTCCTGCAGCAGAGTACATTAGTAATTGTAAATGCATTAAAATTTTTATGTCATAAAGAGAATAATCAGTTTTCTTCATGATACATTATGTTTTACTGAGTTTCATGTGGTTTGTCCCTCTCAGGACCCTTTGGGAACATTCCTTCTCTGGGGACAGCTTCCTAAGACACCCAGGTTGCTTACTCTGGGGCATCTTTGGTCATTTAATACCAGCCAACCTGCTGGGACCCAGGGCTGGTGGAAGCCCCCTCCACAAAGGGTGAGTAAGATACCTTTCTCTCAAACCTTAATGCCACACCAAGAGAATGGGCGTCACAACTTGGTCAAGAGTGTTACTAACAAGTATATGTGGGATTCTCTTTGGTTATGGAATTTTTATTTTTATTTAAGCTTATAAAAAATATAGCTAGAACTGTGTATGTTCCTGAATCCTAAAAGTATTTGTGACCGACTTAAACGCAAATATGTCCTTGCAAAATTCACCAGCTGGCCAGGTTTAAAATCTGCCTGTTTCCCTGTGGAATCTGACATCAGTGTTCTATTGAGCAAATGCATTTGAGTGGAGCACAGTTAGTGTAAGAGCCCGAGGGGTGGGGGCAGCTGGCGGGGGCAGCCCTAGATGCTGTCCATGGCTTTGAACTCGCTGAGGGCCTGCACAGGGTTCACATGCTTCTTCTGAGATGCCCGTTTAATCTTGGTCTGTGTCTCATCCTGCTTCTCTCTCTTCACCAGGGGCTTTTTCTCAGGCGCCTTCATCTTCCACGACACAGCTGGGAGGTTGAGGGAAGCCATCCCCTGGGACTTCTGGTATTTGGTGGACGCCACGTAGGACGCCTTCACCGTCTGCACCACAGCGTTCATCAGGTTCTTGGCGGCCTGGATCAGGGACATGGCGCTGTCCACCTAAGAAGCACAGACACGGGCAGTGAGGAGGGAGGCCTGACCTCCAGCCCCGAGGGCGGGGATGGGCGGGGATGGGCAGAACGGCGACAGCGAGAGGCGGCCCCACCCCTCCCCCTGCAGAATAAGCTGGGTGGTTCCTGATTAGCTCTCCCAGTGGCTGGCTGCTCTTATCCAAACACCTTGAAAACCCCTGTGTTTCAGATCTTTTGAAGAAAAGGGAGCAGTAACAAATCCTAAAGCATCAACACCTGGCCTGCCCCGACCCCTCAACAAGCTGGAGGAGGCTTCCGCCGCCTCCTGAGCGAGATCGCAGAGCTAACTGCAAGCAGCTGCCCAACAGAAACCCCCCACCTTCAGTCAGGCCCAGGGACACAGTGCGGCAGGTGAGCAAATGGTATCAGCATGTACAACACAGGAATTCTGGGCCATTAGCAGAAGCCACAGGGAATCAGGGGAGCTCAGCACACCCAGCGAGACCACCTCTTTGTCCTGCCCAGGTGACAAGGGGTCCAGTACTGTGACATGGTAAAGACATAAGGGAAGAGATACTACTCAGGTACTAGACGGGTAGAGGTGATTTGAGAGAGCCTTGCTATGTCATCTTTGCAATTTTTGAACAGGCTCAATTCCTCCCTGGGGGAAGGAAAACAAGATAAAGTGCTTTTTGCCAGTGAGAGGCCAGCCCTCAGGCGCCCAGCTGTCTCCCACCCACCAAGCTAAACAGAGCGGCAGGGAGCAGCCCAGTGCGGCCCTGGGCTTCCAAGGCCTGAGAAGGAACCTCGGGGTTTTCCAAGCACACCCCCCAGTTCAGGGCAGGAAGGAGTGGATGTGGGCAAAGGCCAGCACATTCCTTCACAAATGAAACTTACCCCGGAGACGACGAGCTCCCCGCCCAGGTTCTGGACCTCGGCCTTGACTTTGCTGCAGATGTTGAGCTGGTGGCAGTAGAGGGCGATGCGTTGCAGGTAGGCCAGCAGGTCCTGCTTGCAGGCGGAGTCCGGGCACTGCGGGGACAGCAGGCTTACACCCAGCCCTCCAGGGGGGGCCCACACACACCCACCCCCAGGGGCTGGTTCTCAGCCTCTCACGGTGCCACCAACAGGCTTCCTCTCTCCTTGGGCCCAGGCCCCTGAAGGTGAGAAAAAGCCTCAGCAAGCAAGAGCGAGGCTCTGGAGAAAAGTCAGAGCGCTCTGAGCTAGGGAGTAGCCACCCCATAGCTCTTCCGCTCAGAGGGGCTCGACACTGCAAACACCGGATGAAAAGAGAGTTTACTTCAGGCCAAAATGGAAGATCAGTAAATCAAAGCAAGAAAAAAGCAGTTGGGGACCGTGAGGTCTTCACCAGTCACAGGGAAACTCAAGGGTGGCCGCTGCCGAACTGCCCAGGGCTGGAAGGCTCCTGAGTCGGTCGGCTTAGGCTTTACCTGAGGGAGGAAACACAGAGCACCTGCCAAGTGTTCTCAGCAAACACTTCGCTCTGTGAGGCCAGCACAGTGAGTGAGAGGGGCAACCATGCTGTTCTAAGAAGCTACAGGAGCACAACAGAACCATATCTGATTTGTGTTTTAAGATGATCGTATATGGTCATGTTGGCAGCTGTGAGGAGAATGCAGTGGCGAGAGGCCTGAGCTGGTGAGAGAAGAGGGAAAAGGCCTGGATGGTGTCAAGATTCATGGCAGTCGAAGCTCCAGGGCTCAGTGCTGGGCTCTGTGAAAGGGCAGCCAGGAGGACTTCCACCTGCTGTCCCTCATGCTGCAGCCCGGGTGCAGGCTGGGAGGTGGCTACTCGAGGGGAGGGGTCAGAACCGCAGAGAAGAACTAAACAAGCATTGCACTGATTACATCCTAGGCTCACCTGATGCACCTCTGTCAAAAACCAAAGCCCAGCGCACAGCTGAGGAGACACTTGGGAGGAACCTGCAACAGTGTCTCCAATAATTTAAGTCTTGGAGCATCAAGGAAAACGTAAACTTTCCAGGAGGTAGGAATCACATTTCCTGACATATCAGTGCAGAGAATAAAAGGTTTATTGAAGGCTGGGTGGTTGAGAAACTGCAGTGACACATTAGCCTTCCAAAGTACTAACCAGACTCCTAATTCTTCTAAGAAATAAATCCCCAAGAGGTACTCATACACGTGGTGTCAGAGCTTGTAGAAGCAGCGCCTACCCAGAGCTGAACTTCTGAAGAAAAGAGAGAATAAACAAGTCACCAATAGACTTGTTTTAGCTGTCAATCATGGGAAGATTTCAGGACAGACACCACTGCTCCAGAGATGGGCTTGCCTCCTAAGACTCATCAAAGAAGAAACAGGAATTCAGAAATCCTTAAAAATCTACGAGTTAAGAACCGTTTGAGAGGTGAGTGTTGTGTCCCATGAAAAATACTGTTGCTGTCTCCAGAATGCACAGGGCTCAGTCCTGGGATAAACTTGAGACCCACATGGCGAGCCTGTCACTTACGTGGTCTGCGATGGTGCGGCCAAGCTTATCCATCCTGGATCCTGCTTCAGCAATTTTCTTGGCGGCACTGATCACGTCCGATGTATTTTTGAGCGGTCCTTTACCTCTGAAAAGAGAACAAGGGTCACTGTAGATGGAGGGGGCGGGAGATAGGAGGGGCTGCAGAGCAGCACGGTCCTGCCCGTCGGAGGGGGCCTGCGGGGCCGGCGCCGCTCACCGCGTGAAGTCGGTCATCTCCATCATGATCATGCACATCTGCTTGGCCAGCACGATGATGTCGTTGCCGCTGTCGTCCCATTTGGACACTTCGGCATCCAGCTTGCTCTTTTCTTCCTGGAAGCTGGCCACCTGCTCCGCAATCTTCGCTTTCTGCTCTTGGGGAAGCTGAGCCATGATCGCCTGAGATCAGAAGCACAGAGAGCGCTTCCATGTTAGGGAGTACGACATTCTCACAGTGCATTAGCCAAGAGCATGTCCACCGAGCAATCCATGGCAATAGGTAGGAAAATGCTTTAATAGGCTTCATTTTGCCTGAAGGGCCAGTTTTTCTCATTTTGCGCAGAAGCTTATGGCAGCCTGAATTTCTGACCCACTTTCAAGAACACGTTGTAATGTGGAGGAAAACAGTGTGAGGGGTAGAAGGCTAAGGTGGAAGCTCCGTGATCACATGTGTGCAGGGACAGAATCTGCTTAATTGGATTCCTAAAAGTTTCATCCTGTCTCCTACCCGGGGAACGGAGATGAGAGAAGGGTTAATGCACAGAGCCCTGTCCCTTCACGAGCATTTCCTGTGGCCACATTACATCTCCAACTTTTCAGGGTGAACTGGAAGTGGTTTTAGAATGTACGTTTTAAGGAAGACAGAGAACCTGCTGAGGAACATACATTTTGTATTTTCTTGGCATTTAAACTTTATCAAAGCAGCACCTGGAGGCCTGCTGACCCTCAAGCCCCCCAGGCCTGGGCCTGGGCTCCTCCCCCCTCAGCTTCCCAAAGTACTCCCGACCGAGTGTGGCCTCGAGCAGGGATGCACTCACTATTCAACATGATTTCTGACAAGTGAAAAAAGAGTCCTTAGAAATATTTCTTGGTGTCCTCCCAAAAACATAAATGCTATTGATTGAAGATTTAATGACTCAAATGAATGCAAGGGCTCTGACTGATTTTCTTCAATGTACCACTGTTGTTTTTTTTAACCCATGAATAATTAAATAGTTCATACCCGTGGTATCATTGAGATGGGCAAAGACAGCAACCTTTCTCGATTTCACATTCCTTTTAACAAGCATTGCATTGATGATATCCTAGGCTCTCCTGATGCAGCTCTGTCATAAACCAAAGCCCAGCACACAGCTGAGGCCCATGTTCCTGCCCCCAGCTGAGGAGACACTTGGGAGAAGCCTGACTGGCAGGTGCCACAACTTAGGTTAAGTTAACCTGCGTCCTACTCCCAGAGAAAAGAGGGAAAGTGGGATTCTTAATACTGAGAGAGCTTTTTCTTTTCCAGGAAAACAAAGGCCTGAGGAGGACAGGGGAGGGCCACAGAACAAGTTTAACAGATTCCTTACCCGTGCGCTCTGGCCGGCTATCAGCTGATCGTCCTCAGTCTGGACACTTGTCCTACTTCTGACATCAAAGTCTTCTGTCTCGAAGTCAGAGTCATCCAGCTCCTCAGGGGTCTGCCACCAAGAGAGAGACCAGGAGTCAGACACACCCCTGGGCTTGCTGGATGGACACCCAGAATTCTAGAGTTTCACGCGCATAGTTCCAAACAGGTGTGGAGGCCACAATCGCTCATTGTCTGAGACCTGCTTCACTGATGCAAAGGCGGGGGGCTCGTCCCACAAACAGCAAGTGAGGGCCCCACATCAGCATGTCCCAAAGGGCCTGGGTTCCTTTCTGGGGGTGGGGCTTAACCTTCCACCACTGAGTCAGGACTCTTTTTTTTAACACAATTTTTTTTACCTCTTAATGTATTTCTGCAACAGCTACATCTTAAGACAAACGTGAGAACTGTCCTGAGTAGAAAGGGTACTATATTAAACAATAGAGATGTTTTAGACAATTATAACATCCCCACTTTATGACCAAAAGAAAATTAAGTGGGTTAAATAATACTGGGCCTTCTCTTAGGGTACCAAAGGCTGCTTTGAGGAATAAAAATAGGCAATGTATTTATTTATTTTTTTTTTTACTTTGATAAAAGGAAGAGAGAGAATGTGGCAGGTAGGGTCTGAGTAAATACCAAAGAGACTGATAGTGGTCCTAGCTCTGCTTAAATTATGAAATAAAATTCTTATTTTGCACAACCTCCAGCCTCTCATGGTTAGCCGCTGACTTGAAACAAATGGAAGTTCTCGGGAATGGGGCAGCAGCAGGCAGAACAGCTGGGGCTGGCTCCTAGCCCAGCCTGCTACAGGACGGCAGTGAGGCGAGTCCCTCGTCTGCACCAGGACCTACTCCAGGCCCAGCCTGTGCCGTGAGGCTCAAGTGAGAGCACGTGTGAGAAGGCACCTGAATCCACCAAGAGTCTTGGGTTTGTACACATGCAAAGGCCAGGCCTGGCCCTCAGTGAGACAAGGATCATGCAAGTTCACACGCGAGACCAGTGAGCACATCCACACGAGACCCTGGCAAAACCCTATGCCACCACTGCCCATTTTAATCCTTCGAGAGCTTGGAAGAGGCATCCAAGCCGCCTGCCTGCTCCCAGGATGTGCTTTCCCACAACCCTACCTGCGTCCCCAGAACCAGACTCTGGGATTTGCAAGCATCTCCTGGAGCGCATGCACTTCAGCCCACTTAAATCCCCAAAGGCAGTAACTCCTCTTTATCATTAAGGTACTTTTTACTCTATTTCTAGGTGTCTGGAGAAAAAGGGCTGCATTCATCACTACTGGTATATGCGACCCGGGGACCCCTCATACCACTGAGATAAAGGCCACCGGCTTTAACCCTGCGTTCAACCAGGCCTGTTGAACTTGGTTCTTCTTTAGCACAGAAGCAGGGATGAAGAAGGCAAAAGGCTCCACCAGCTCCCTGTACCCCCAATATGTCCAGGTGACCCAGGGTCCATAGGAACAGCCAGCAGCCAACCAGGCAATCCTCAAACAGTTTCTTTCCTCCTCCCCCCAGAGCGCAGTGCAGTTTTGCCCAGGAGTTTCTACATTGCACACAAAATGCGTCCAGCCTGATGCAAGTGCCTTAGAAGTCACCTCTGCTTCCAGCTGACAATCTGGCTAGCTTCTGCAGGCTATCCAGCTGAGGGGGTAACAGGTGGGACAGCATCCCTGCCAACTATGGGAGGTCTGGCTGCAGACCATGAAGGTATAAGTGAATCTCCCCTGCCCCGGCCAGATCGACAGCATAGCACAGCAGCCACATAGACCGCAGGCAGGCACCGCGCTCTGACTGCTGCTCTGCAGCGAGGGCAGGGCCTGGCCCGGGCCTGGGGGTGGCCAGGTGGCCCTGGGGAGAGTTACACACAGGCCAGCTCAGCTTCCAGAGCTGCATGCTGGTGCTCAGGACTGCATGGGAGGGGTCACTGCTACAGGAAAGGCAGCTGTGAGCCAGGCCCAGCACCCTAGGGCTGTACCATGGAGAGGCTATAGCTCCCCAGAGCCTTTGTGTTGATGCTGATCCAGGAGAGGCCTTGGGCTTTCTCTCAGAAGAGCAGGTGGCACTCGCCTTCAGCTATGGTGAGAGGGCCAGGAACATGACTAGGGGCTGCCAGTCCCTCACCCTGCACACTGGGGATCTCACATCCTGCCTCTACCCCTCCGAACAGAGGGGTGCTCCATGTGAAGAATAACTTCAATCTGCTTCAGGAAATATGCCCGTCTCTGAAATTAACTGAAGAGCCTTTACTGTCTGTAGTTTTCCTCTAATTCAAACGGAAGCCTCATATTTGTGGTGACTGTTTGCCCTAAATTACATTGTCAAGGCCAGCTCATACTAGCTCCTGTTCTTGGCCCACGTTTGGGTTCTAACTTACAACTAAAAGTCATTTTAGACAATATAATTAAATATATCTCATTCTAACAGCTTTTAGATTCATGGTTTTAATATACTGCCGATGCAGCTGCTGAGTTCCAGAATGATGCTCGAGTTTAGCAAATGATAAGAAAGAGCTGTGAGCTGTTAAAACGTCTGAGATGCAGTTACTCACCCTTATCATCAACACCGCTTTCCTGATGTCCCGGATGCCGTCGTACACCAGGCGGGAGGCATCGATGAACTCGTTCTCATCCATGGGCTGGGCGGGGTCCGAGCTGAGGGCTTCCACGGCCGCCTCGACTTGCTCGGTAAAGCGCGGCATAACTGTGGAGAGAGAGGCATGGCCGATGAGGCCGGCCCGGCAGATGTCCTCGTTCTCCCAGCCCCCCGCGCCCCTCAGACAGACAGAGGCGAGGTATGTGAACAAGAGCCTCTGCTTCTACCCATGTGAGACGTGTTTGTGGCTGAAATAAATGAAAGGCTGTATTTTATCAAGACTCGAATCCTCTTCTTTGTCTCTGACCAGATTCTACCAACAGGATTAAGATGGTTGAGAGCTTGAAGTGAGATTAACCTGAGGCCTTAAGAATGGGACCCTCCTTAACAATATTTATTCACTAACAGGAGATTTATTTCAGAGCTCCTCTTAAATAGTATGTTTAGAATTATTCCAATCATTAATCATGGGACACACGTGAAGGAGGTGTGTTTGTGAGGCCTTAGTTTTGCTGACCAGTATCTCACAAGTCTGACGCACCACCCAGAACTCGTCTTAATACCTGAGTCCTAATCTACTTACTGAGGCCCTGTGTGTGTGTG